TATTTAATCGACACCCAAGACAAATCTTCGATAGAGCTCTATGGAAGATGGGCGCGTGCAAGTTCGTCACGGTGCTCAAGTGCGGGACCGCCAATCCTTTGTCGATGCAAATTTTTCATTCGAGATCGCTATATATTCCTATATAAGTTGCGTATATTGGCCAACTGATCCGCATACTTGGATGCCCACACGGATCCAGCACTGTATTTAGCACGCTGTTTCTACTCTGTCTCTACGCTGTTTCTACCCTGTCTCTAACGAAGAATTATTTCTTTCCGCGCTGTTTACGCCATGCTAAATTTCCAATAACGGCTGTGCTAGGTATTGTCTCCGAAGCATAACTTGATTACCATAATGCAAGACGATTGTTTAGTTACTATCCCAGAAAAAAAGTGGTGGCATTTTAAGCTTAAGACATAACGAGCCTATTTTACATCAGGCAGACTAAGAGGCCTTGGTCTACTACTTTACATATAGTATTCCATAATTTTGCAAGTATCCTAGAAATTATTTTGTGGGAAATAAAGTGGCGATATGTTGCAACTAAAAAAAAAACTCACATTTGTTTTTAAAGTGATAAGAAATACTTATAAACCGAGTTGATTGATAATAAAATAATAATTGATAACAAAATGCTTAGCCATGAACGGCTATTTACTGCTAGATTGTTGTTTAATCGTTTAGCAACCTATAGGATCATATAGATCTTGCTTAATAACACTTCAAGAAAGGTTACGTAGGTGTGAGTGTGTTCATTCCTTTATTATTTTATTATTAGTAAAAGTATATAAATGATAATTTGTTCCTCACAATCGTTCCAGACTTTGAAGTCGATGTTGCCCTCGAGAAGATAACATTAGAACTGTCTTTGCCATCAGATATTAAATACTGCCTCTTTCTTCCTGGTTAAAATATTAGCCAAAAAATATAGTAGACATGTTAAAACACCAGTAGAGGCAATTATGTGTGAAAATTAGGGGTTTATTCAGCTATTCCTGCTCCGAACCCCGTTCAGGGTAACACGGTAACGTCACTTTCCCGAAAGCATTGACCGCTTCGTATATTTAAAAAAGCTGGTCAATTGATTGATATATTAATATATCGCAGACGTTTATTATGTATAAATATATACTTGAACATCTATTTACGAATATTAGTACTTGAAAAAACCAAACTTTTATGTACATACGCATATGATTACAGGTACTATACGTTGCTATTTTGAGTTATCTTTTGAGTAGGGAGATGGTGCTACCTGACTATACGCAATTAAAGGAATGAAGCTAGATATTAATCTTCCGAAACCCTAGGTCTGTATTTCTATTATGTTAGTGTGCTAATTATGCTTTACGTTTTGCTGGTGGATAATGTATGCCGATTTTAGTTTTGGTCGAAATGAAATATGAAATAAAATAAAATTTCTATTGACATAACCCCTGTGGTAAATAAAGTTTAATGTTTTTGTAAGCTGCTCGTTTATGGCGCACACAAATATCTTGCTATTTATTCAGTAGGTGTGAGTAACAATTGTGGAAAAAAATTAAGCAAGCAAATAAAACATAACAATTATTAAAACACCGAATGTAAAGTATACAGTGCAAGAAGTTCTCTCCACGAAAATCCTGGATAGTATAACTAAGATCTCCGACAGACCACAGCTGATTAAGGTTGATGATCGGAACTTGCTAGGTTTACGCATAAAGCCGTTCGTTGAGGTAATACCGACGATTTCATGCTCTTCCAAAAAAAATCTGAATCGATTGATCTTTGGGTGATGCCATTTCGTGCATGGGAACTAGCTCACCTAAGGTGCTCATTAGCAGCCCCGTCTGAGAGGCCTGATCACGAACAGACAGTAGCCTTTCACGTCCTTCAACCATAGCCAAATGCCGGGGTTTTTGCCTATAATTGGCGACATTGTCGTAAACGAGATTATCGTGAGCTATCATGTAATCCACTGGGTGGCACAAAATCTTCTCCAGTCTCCTTGTCGTCCACTAGTGTTTAGACACGGTTTAAGCCTTACTAGAGAAATACTTTGGAATCGCTTCCGGCGATTAGTCGAGAATTTGTCTGAGACGAGCGGTGTCGATAGTTGGCGATACAATTTGGGATAGTTCCCTTATGAGGGACTAATGACGGTCGAGTGGTATCAGACATTAATGGCAATCAAGTTTCGTTGCTCTCAATGTGAAGTGGTAGAATTGAAACGTTTTTTGAGGCATCGAGAACTTTTTGAGTCGCCGACATGTATCTCGTGGCCAATGGAGAGTGGACACCGATCATCATTATCTTCATCTATCTCCTGGCCAAAGCAGTTTATTTGAAATTAATCAGAGTTCAGATGGAGGCATGAAGCGGTCACTAGCTGAATTTTTTTGGCAATTATAAAGACGCTATATAAAATAAACACCAAAAGAAGTCTCAGAGCTGATTAAAAAAAAATAGCGGAAATAAGTTTATCAATATTTTGCGCGCATGCCTGTCTATAAATTTTGCACAAAACTTTTTTTTGCTAAAAATTGGCCGCGAATCAGGGGAAGGAGAGATATACAAATTCTTACTTGCGATATTGTAGACCACAAAAGAGCGCCAAGCAGTCGTTTAATGAGACTGGTCGAGGATTAAAGGTTGGTAAAAACAAGCGATAAATAGAATGGTTCAATGAGCACTGCAGTATCGTAAATTAATTGTTTTCTTGGATGGTGTCGATTCATTCGTCATTGTGTCTTTCGGCAAATGAATTGGGAATATAGGAATAACACAAACAGCAAACGGAACCGTGAGCAGATAAATTATCAACGTTACACAGGGAGGTAAACGATCATATAATATGATTGTATTCTGGCTGAACTTAAAGGTGAATCGTTTGTGGACGGTAAACTATCAGGACACTGTGTAGCACAAAAGAGGAAACGCTCATCTCTATTGTTTTTAATTGAGCAAAGCACAGCCAATGCTGTAGGAGAAAGCAGGCCAATAATCGTCTATAGTAGCAGAAAAAAAATTGCATCCTAGTGTCAAACGTACTGATCATACTTTAGTTAAGGATTAGCGATGTAGTAGATATAGTAACCCGTATGTTTTTGAGAAACCATAAAAAACACGATTTAAAATTTCCTTTGATAACAGCGACCATGCACATCAAGATCGTCATAATATTTCAACAACATATGCGTACGACATGCTAGTAAAATACTGCCAGGCAAGGGCCTTCGCAAAAATGGTCGTTACTGATTCATTCCTATCGATCCAATCTGTTCTATGAGCCCATTTTGGGGAATGGGCATGGCGTCGAGCAAAATCTGTCACCGGATAAAATAATAATTCAAGTCGAACCATTCCGTACACTAATACTTTACACAAAACCTTATCACAAGAACTTTAGCGTTTAGTGCAGCTTTTTTTCTTTGGTAATCTCTCGATCGGCTCTGCCACTCAACGACACACATGCAGATCCTCGATATGTTCGAGAAGTCCCTCACAGATGATTGCCCAATACCTAGCGGGCTCATTTACAGACCTCTTTCGAATATGGAGCGACGTTGTATGGACTTAGCTCAGGACCAGTTTTGCATATTGTCGCTTTGTGAAAACACCCGTTATTGGCAGTTATCGGAAGCGACAGAGAAGGGTTAGATTGAATGTATCTCCGTTTACTCATTTCGACGACAGTTCCCATTTTATTGCGGATAATACAGAGATGAACATGTAGGGTGTTGGCATGATAGGTTTCTTACACTCGTCACTCGAATCATGTCTCAAAGTTAATCTAGCAGAAAGTTCTGGATGGATGAGAATTATGTGTCCACATTATAGGCAAGTATATAAATTATCTATTGAATCGGATCAGCAGGAAAATATTGTTGGAAAATGCTGTTGCCTATGCTAAGAAGAACCAGCTATTGTCGTTAATCTCTTAGGTTGTCTTTCGACATAAAAGTCAGCCTAGCTACAGAAAAAGCTATCATCCGAAACAGGCGTAATGATCCTAACCGTATTTTCGCAAAATCAGCTTCAACGATACGGGTTCTCCGCTGCGCACCACCTTTGGGGACATTTTTTGTTGGGATGTATACATTCAAGCAAGTTTTGGCCTGTAGGCTATTCTCATCTGCAGCTGCCTTTGTAGTATCATTTACGCCAGATACGTCTCAAGTGAACATTACGACTAAATCAATCTGTTTCGAAGCAGATTTCGGCCTCTTATGTATATGCATTGCTACACCCAAAGCGTGGTCGTTGTAAGCTGACATGCTAAGGCTCACAGTCGTGCGCCAATGCCGAAGCTTTTGCGTATATCCTACTGTGTACATAGTTGAAATCACGACACAGTAAACGTTGTTTACAGGCCAGAGATACACGAGAGAGCTTTGACAAAAACACTTTTCCGTAAAAGCAGCTCACTTAGATGTTCTTACATTTATAAATTTTTTATTTTTTTTTCATTCCGAAAGTACACATACATGGACGCCATTTTTTTGGCGATCGCTTTTAGTTCCAGCGGCTTCACGTTAAATTTATTTCCCTATAAAGACTTGAGTTTTTTTACAAAATATTGTAAATTAAAACTAAATCTCAGATATGTGGTCTAACGTTTTGTGCAAATTTTCGGCATTTCGTTTCGGGGACAATAACAATTAGCATTAGAGAAAAATACATATGGTCCAGAGAAGTGGGCCGCTACCTTTTAGCAACTTCTATCAGGACGAAACGTCAAAATCACCCAAATTATCCAGCTGGGCCTCGTTGAATATCGTTATGTCAGTAACCACGTTATTTAGTATTCGATTTACCGTGTCTGTTTAAAGCCAATTGAATGGTTTCATCTTTATCTATTCCGTAATTCACGTATGGATGAACACAAAATGGTAGTATTAGTTTTTGCTGTGCTATTGAACTGACCCGTTCCGGTATTCTAGAATTAGTTATCTCCTGCGGCGATATGACTGGGATTGAATGGACGTCTATCGACTGAACTAGGGAATTGATCGATAGGCTTGAACGGACGTCAACTCTGTCTTAACGAGTACCTGAAGGGAAACTTATTAGATGTACATAAGGAGAAAATGTGCAGCAGAGCCGCACTTTAGAATGTTGACGATAGCACGGTGTCATGTGCTGTTTGCTTCCATTTTTAGGTACACCGACCATTGTGCTGTAACAGAAACGAAGCAACATCTAAATATCGAAGTTGTTCTTTAGCCAGTGAGCGTCGATTCGAAGCAGCGCCTCGTGGTGAGGGCTAAATAGTGGTTAGTGGCTAAAAATGGACAGATTTGATTCAGAAAGAAGTGATCCACATGATACAACGGACTTAAAGACGTTGGATAGGGCGGAACTTGATGCTGATTCCAGCGTACTGTCGACTTCTCGTTCACACGAAACAACGGATGAAGTTGTACGTATCAAAAGGGCCGCTCCTCAGAATACGTTATTACGTCGATAAATGTTGTACATCATCACAAAGTAACTTTCTCTCCATGTCGAGTCGAAGTAACTTTATTGTATCGATAACTAACTTGTCCTGCAGTAATTAACCCCTACCGTTGTTCTGACAAAAATTGCATTCTGTCGTTGGGCTTCTGGCAAGCAACATTGTCGGATATCGACAGCATCTGATATTATTCTATTTTTATGTACCGTAATTTTGTACTTCCTTGTATTAGCTATTTGGCCTCTCCGAGAGCAAGCTGTTGTACTGAATCTGATTTTTACTTGCCATCGATTTTTGCAAACATATGCTTTTCAATAGGCTGCGGGAAAATTAAGGACTCTCAAGGACATCCCTGACAGACGCAACTCGTTAAGTTTCTCTTACAGCGACGAGGAAGACGACACCGACCTTTTCCCAACTTTGACAACTGAGAAGTTATGTTCGAAGAACAGCGTTTTACCCAGTTTGTATCAGTTAAATAGCTTTATAATTCATATTTATCGAGAGTTGTAACGTATTTGAATCGTTTCAATTAAGTCATCCTTTTCTATTGGGCCTCAGCTGACATGACCTGGCCATGATTTGACCTCAACGAAGGCACAATCTGTTAAGGTTCTGCAACGATTTAGGACAAATGCTGACTGAACTAAGCTTCATCATGAAACCATGAAAAATAATCCAGTTTGAAGGTTTTCTTTATTTATGGTAAAATTACTTTAAAAGTACCTTCCAAGGCATACCGGAAAACGCCGACGGCGTTCTTTACGTCTTGTTACGGTCTTTTTTCAACTTAGCAAAGCACAGCGCGTCAATAAGTTTTCACCACTTGCTATGCAAGCCTAACCTACTTTTGCCAATATGTTGACGCATGGTAACTCATAGTTACTATAGGTATTTATTAACGAACGAGTAACAAACGAACGCGTGTATGTGGAATGTAAAGCAAAAAGAATCCAAGAACAACGACTTGATAGGGGATAAGCAATGGTGTGATTAGAACTCACTGCATTGAATATATAGCGAAATTTTAAAGATACGTTTTTATACCATACGGAGTATAGCAAGCAATTAGAAGATCGTAAGCTGACGTCTCTAAAGCAAACATAAGGTGACGCAGTCTTGTGAAAGACGTGCACCGAACAGCGGCATTTTTCTAATAAAATTTGCGTTTAGTAATACATGTTTGTAAATTAAACGAAGAATATAAAAGGATCTATTTTTTAAACAAATCTCTTTTTCACTGTTTTCTTCACCGGAGATCACAAACAAGTCCAGCTTGACGTAAACACTGTTGATCTATCATCTCATAAAACTTGATGGCTTTCAAACAAAAACCCGCACGTTTCAAGTGATTTTCGAGAAAGTATAATGCATCAATTGTACCTAATAATAATAATAATATAATAATGTATTGTATCGAAGAAAAATCCTCACAAAAAGTGCTTATTTCGTTCTGATTGCTGAAAAATGGGATATTTCAAAAGAAACTGTCAAATAACATCAAACAGTGTTTTTTTTTTTCATGAACAGCGGTAGTATATAGAGTAGTTTAAACGGATCTCTATTAAACGCGATCTGTGAAAAGTCATTGCAGGTGGCTGGCTGTTTAAGTATATGATAAGGTGAAATTCATAGAAAACGTTTCCTGCGTTGCAGCTGCCAGCGGTAAAAACAATGACTGTTTGGTTCTAAGATACCTATTTGACACTTTAAATTCAACATTACATTTAATCGATAATTATTTCAAATCCTGACTTCTGTGACAGATTCAGCGTCGGCGGAAGGTGACATCGGCGAGTTTGCTGCTCGCATTGCAGAAGCCAAAGTGAAGAAAGATAACATGAAGTTTAGCTTTCCGGAACCGGAGTTCCTCAAGGAGATCCCGAAATACGATCGTATGCAGCCTTCCATTTCGTACCTTCCACTGGAGCACTTTTTTATTTTCAAAAGTATCCCTTTTACTGAACTATAACGATGCATAATTTCGCAAAAGATAAAAACTGTATGACCTTCACAGGCGACTATGAAGACCACGAGTTAGAGGACGCTTCTGATCTTATTCCGCTGTTACTCAGTACCCAAAAGATTAAAGGTAGGTTCACACAATTTGTCAACTTTCATTTTTAATCAATAATAGCAAATTATGCCGAACGGCGGACGACCTGTTCAGAGATCAGTAATTTGTTGGTCAGCTATATCATGTATGTGGAAATCTGGTTTTTCTATTGCTTTTTCTGAGGCAAAAATACGTTTAGATTCATTTCTCAACAGCGCAATTGCAGCATCGGCAGCCGTCTATTTTTCATTGGAATTAATAATCAATACTGAATAAGCTTTGCTGGATACAGTGGAAAACAGTACATCATCCGAATGTTACGTCTAAGTAAAACAATTCTTCATTAAAACTAGAGATAAGTTAGATAGCATAAGACTCGAGTAAAGCTGCAATAAAGGCGTTATATTTTTTTAAATTTTTCCTATAGCAAACAATCTTCAACAAGGGTTTGGCCGTCTTGCTTTTTAAGTAATATGAGTGCTCTCACTTTTGTATGACCTTTTAGCTAGTGCCGGGCCGACATGGTCCATTATAAATGCTCCTAATGTGGCCTTCGGGGGGTATGGACCACTGTTCATGCCGTATAGGAAAGACCTAATGAGAGGCAACGTTAAGATATTTTTCCTGACAAAAGAGAAACAATCACTATAGCCAATGGCAATATAAGTCTGGTGCCTGCTATCTTTTCACCAACGCAGCTTCATTATTGACGGTGACTCAACGTCTGTAAATCAAACTGTTCCCATGAAGATTTCACCGTGCCCATGCGTTTATGCAACGGTGCCTAGAAACGCTCGGCTGAATTTAGGTTCCATAGTAGACTTGGATTGGAGTTTTTAAAGACGAACTTGTTTAATATTCTTTAGCGCAAACATCTAGTGGAAAAACGTGAATTTACAAATTCGACTTTATAATACGAAATAATTTTTTTTTTTGCTATTTATATATATATATATATATATATATATATATACAGAGGCCTTATTATGATTTCTGTACTTGAATGCATCAATTTAAAAAAGGCTAGGCACCTGTATTATTACAATCGCAGCATACACCATGGAGAAGTTACTCGACATCTGGCACCTGGAAGGTGCCGAATACTTCTGCCTTCAGATTAATTTTGCCCGTGTCGTTAATTTGTAACTGCGCAGAAGTCCCTAATAGCAGTCAACTTCGACAGAAGTTGTCCATCCGTACCAAATGTTGGTGGAATAACTTCGTTGCAATATAGGGTTGATGTTCGCGACTCGGACCATGCGTATCGTGGTGCTACCCATTCGATCTTCTCAGATTATAGAAGGTTGTATTAAAAGAATCAACCAGAATCTAGTAGTTGAAAAACTTTTACCCTCAAGGTAACGTCAAGTTAGTGGGATTGATTAAGTAGAAAAGGGAATTCAGTTGTTGTGAAGACTAGTAGCCTATGTGCGCATAGAGTACGAATCTTTGATTGCAATGAATATCTTTTTTAAATATTGGCTGGTTGCTTGCCGACCAAAACTGTTTGGTCCAATGGGTAAGATAACAATGATTTCACTGCGTAAGTAAAAATAAGACCTTGGAAGACCACTAGTCTGACCATGTTTTCGCAGAGTCATGATGACGTTGATAATTAGCTTTGATTTACTACACGTAGTAAAGTACAATCGTGCTGTATCAACATAGTGAAACTCATAACTGTCCCGTCAAAGCTATTGTATGCCACGTCATATGGTAGCTGCACCACACCGAAACGACGCGCGTGGCGTCTGGCAAATGGAAATTCAGCAAACTGCATAGAATGTGGGGAAACCCATTTACCACACAGAATGCATAACTATGTGTCAGGTAGCCTCGTTCGTTTCTCGCTAGGCTCTACTGCTTGTAGTTCGTGCGTTAAAACAATTGGCATCGCTATATACCTTTCCATACATTGATAAACTCCTATAAAGATCTGAGTCTGCAGCTCAGATCCCTTCTGAATAGCGAGGTGTTGCCTAGAAAGTATACGTATTTGTTCAACGATAACCAGTGCAGTCTCATGGCGTGTTTTTGGCAACGCAAATTTAAATCGGTAGCGTTTTTCAAGTTGAGCGCACGAAACATGTTCTATGACTGCCTAGACAGCAGCCGTGCTTTGTCTGAAATGTGCTGGGCAAAAGCTCGTTCGTAGACAAAATCAGATCCAGGTACGTGAATTGGTTACGTATTGTAAGATTGTTGTGCCTATATGGGGCGTGTAAGTGGCAGCGAGACGTCTCATCCATAAGGAACAAGGATGATAAGATCGTCGCCACAAAGCAGTGTTTGTACATGTTTCGATAAAACGGGTCATATAGAGAGAAGAATATTGGGCTTAGCATAACATCTTGTGTTACGCTAACTGACTGGACCAACCGCTTAAGCTGGGGCACTTCATCTGGACTAACCGGGTGCTCCTGTAAAACTGTCGTGATCAGATATCGTATATTCTGAAGAGCTTCGCAATGTACAACTAAAATCCTGACCGACGTATTTTATCAAGTATGGGATTAGTCGCATGCAAGGCTGTGCTGTCATATTAACGGATGGAGCAAAAATAGGATTATAGTCGGAAAAGCCGTGGGTCTAGACTCAGAAAATGGGCATACAATGAGGAAAGCAAGTGAGTTAATGGCTGAAACGTAAGAATGGATGGGGCTCTTGATAGTAAGTTGCTTTTCTTCTACTGTGAAACTTGAATTTCTCCAACTTACGTTGCGATCCACTGGAAGACAACTTTGCTCCCCCGTAGAGACGTTCCTGGACAAAGGCAAATCTTGATAAAATCGAATTTTAGTTTCAGGTGTAGAAGATAGTGCCACAATGAAGTTTGCGAAGCTTACATTGAACGGTCATAAGGAGTAGGACGCGATTCGCTAGAGAATTTGGTCGGGACTTTTACGAATCACGCCGAAAATTACAGCAGGAATATAGTGAGCCAGAACGAGCTTTTTCTCGCTGGATTTCAACCTCGGTGTTTTTTGCAAATAAAATTTATCTGCCTGAAACTAGGAGCGTCTTGAATAAATTGGTACATCTATTATAGAACTCTGCGGCATTATATCGCGGCTTGGATAGAAAAATTCATCATTAATCAATGTCCACGTCTTAGATCAGAAAGATCGTCTTAGAGATTAGAAAAATGGTTTGTCTAGAGGGGAAGACCTGTCGCAATTTCCGCGCCATTAAGTACATGAAAATTTACTTCCTTTACGTAAATATAGATTCACCTTTAATATATATATGTATACGCAAAGAATAGATCTACGGTAACTTAAGTCCGTTGACACCCAAAGGCAAGCAAGGTAAATTTTAGTTTTGGTAGGACAAGTCTAGTAACATCCTACTGTACAGATGCCAAACGTTTCATTTCGAAGGCATCGCAATAACACATAAAACCCCTTCGTAAGCTTTATGGTAACTTATTAAAATCTTTCAGCAAGTTCCTTTCCAGCTCGATTCAAGTATCATTTTCGTGCAATATGACCAAAATAGACACTGTGCGATGTAGGTTTATTGCGTCTGTAGCAACCTTCTAACAAATCGGTCTTAAAACCTTTTATCTATAGGAACAATCATACGATGTAGTTACGACAAACACTTGTAGAAATACCTATGAGATATTTACGTGCAAGACATGGAAGGAAGAACATAACTAGATAAGTTGTGAAATATTGGATACGTCTCTCGTATTCAGTGTCTCAAGTTCTACGTTCGGCATCGCCGTCATGCATTCCATCAGACAGCTGGCCTCAGCACGAAACGAAGTCTATGTATGCCCTCTTTCGAATCTAGACCGCGACGCGCTGCTATTACGGGGATCTTTGTCGTACCTTGTCGTCTTGGACGACCAGCTCATTAAATAGCTGATAAATAGACGCAAGAACTACTACTGAAGAGGCAACGAAGGGAGCAAAGTTTTTAAAGTAGCGACCTTGCATTAGAAAAACTAAGAGACACGACGATTTGAAGCTTGATAATTGCTTGTCAGATTAACTTGATGCTGAATATTGCATGAGAAATATAATAATCAATAAAAAAAAGTTGTGATAGAAAAAAAATGTAATGGGTTAAGCATCGAAAAATATGTGTATAGAACGTTTTTATTGACCCGGCATATATTTTGCTAGATTGACTATAATGTTTGCTCATTTGAGATTGCTCTATGTATATATGTATATAGAGACATGGTGCTCCGTATATGGCCTGCAATACGAGGCCTCTATTAAGATGTCTGTACTGTTTTTGTATTAATTTAGTGTATCCTTAGGAGAATCAGCTTGCCTTAAGCACCCGAAAACAAACGGATATACGTATGATGCGAATAAGATGTGAAGTAATACTCTTCGAAGGCTAATACTCTGTAATGCACGGGCACCTTTTTCATAGACTTTTTGTAGGAGATTTATTTTAATGATTTTAATTGTTGCACCTAAAAATCCCATAAACCGTGTTGAACCTCCCTCCGTAGGGAGATAGCAACGGATGTTGAAGATTCGCTAGATAACCGGTACCATTTAGTTAGAATGATAGGTTCCGAATCGATCCATTATAATTATTAGTTGCGATCCCTCTTCTGTGTCGACCCTTATGCAAGCCACTCAATACGAATAACAGCCTCATGATACCGCAGTGCATAGCATGTACCTTATAGAGAATACTTTTTTCAGCCGTTAATTTTTCGTTATGTTTAAAACTACTTCTGTTATTGTTGTTACTGTGATGAAATGATCTTGTGTACGGGAATTGGGCGTCGTCACTACCGTACGCTTAAACAATTATGATACTACCTGTTAGCTGTCATTTTGACGCATGCTTCCTCGTCATGTAGGATCGTTATCGCTATGAATCTGTTTTTGTACCCGATTGAACTATTTGAAGCTTAGAGAAAAAGAAGCCTACTAAGTTAGTGGCGCCGAAAAGCAGTGCTTCGGAAGCGTGTTACGTTTTTCTATTTAAACAGCTGATTATTATACCAACACTGTTCTTCGATGATTGCTTTGTGAACACAATAATAATTGATGTCACATACATGGGGGTGGTCGTGTCTAGATTTAACTTCGTTTTTGAAGCTCTATTTGAACTTGCACAGATCCGCGGGCAAAAAGATTGTGAAAGGCCATGCGTCTTTCATGTCCCATGTCCCTGTCGATCGCAATGATTGGTTTCGTAACACAATCTTGGAGCATATTTTTACCCACAATAAACGCAAGCTACCCATATTAGTGGTGTTGGACGTAATTGTAGTAGCCATAGTTGCACCTACAATCGAAAACGTGATTGCTCAATTCATCTTCCCCATGGGGACTTTTGTTACGTTGTGGCCGAACGACCTATGCGCCTCCTGGTGGCTCGCTTCAAAGCTTCGCACCTAAAGTTGGTGGCTAGTTACCCTATTTTCAGTGCCGTCGTCTGCGGAAAAATGAGATGGCATCAATTTCGAACGTACGGTCTCCCAAGCTGTTGGTGCCGTGCGTCCGGTCATAGATCATATAGCTCGACAAACCTTTTCACATGTAAACGTTAGTTCAGGGTTGAACGCTTCCGCAGTTAATGAAATCCGTAATCTTCGTAAGCGCCGTTTTTGGTTAATGAGCTCTTGCATAAACAGGAAGGTAGCGATCTTGTTATCAAAAGCAACAAATTCATTTTTCAGTTATTCCAACCGTAGGGCCACTAAACTACTACTGACACCCCTGCTTTTGCTATAGCTCTCCATTCCGTCTCCCTTGCTTCAAAAGAAAGTGCCAGAACAGTACAACCTTCAAAATGCCCTCAGCGTTAAATTTTTTATGCGTTGTCTTTGTTGCCCGAAAGCTCATAAAGAGAGTTTTGTATCAAGCGGGAATTAGCTGCTCACTATTGACAAAGACGTTTCTACTAGCGTTACTACAATTTCTCTCAACAAACGCTACTGTTTCAGCGGCCTTCCGTCAGCCCGACGGAACGGAAACCTGTAGCGAGATGGTTCGGTCATAAAGGTACCTGTGAACAGCCGTTTGAAGTCATGCCGTTCGACCACAGTTGTGTTTAGTCACCCATAAATTTGTGCCATTTGACCCCTTCCGCGCAGACGCTTGCCCGTTTCCTAATGCCCGGTCGGCTGTACCACTTCCGGGAGTAAGAAGTAGACTAGCTGAATTGGACGAACGGTCCAACGCCCTATTCGGCTGAAGTGTCTTTGTTTCTCGGGCAAATTCTTTGTGGCGAGAGGGTATTGACAGCAGGAGTAGCCACCAAGCGAAAAAGCGCGCCTCGGCCCTTCAACCCGTGACGTGATGGGCGAATACCGAATCCGAATAGACGCGGATACACATACTGTCTGACCCTGCCATCCCAGCGGCCAGTTCTAGAGGGACAACAGACAGCAAACAGGAAAGTACGACCCAGACGAAATAGAGTGGCCTGCGTCGAAGTTTGCCAGGAGCGGTAGTGTCCGCGAACGTAATCTATTTCACGTCTGCTTGCGAGCTCCCTCCTCCCTTCGATCGGGGGCCGCTGCCGCTCGCGTCAAACGAGGGCCGCCGTTAGCGAGTGAAATACGCTGGCCCCTGCAACAGTGGTTTGGCCTGCCCGGCTTTCGCCCATTTTCGGCCTGCGCTAGTCTGGGTAACTTGAGACACTGTTAACCACTTCTGATTGGAGCTCACCGAAGGGAACACGAACGGAAAGAATAAAAACCAGGAGCCTTCTAGCGGTCATGTTATCATGGTTGTTATTTCTGTCGTCATTATTGCAGAGATAAACGCTACGTGGATATAGATGCCGATACTGGTCATATCGCTAGCCGTGCAGCGCTGACGGAGACTCTCGTTTAGTTTATATGCTGCGTCGACGTTGACGTGCGTTCTGTGCTTCCTTAGTTCATATTGTTGAAAACTCCCGGGTTGGTGAATGGTGCTATTAAAGCTAAGACGCTTGTGCTTGTTACTACAGTGGTCTTAAGGCAACGTTTGGGGAAGTCGGTTTGGCCGTTTGGTTGATTGGTTCGTGAGGACGTGTGCTGCCTCGATATTTCAGTTTAGCTTATGAGGGCTCAGTATATTGAAATGCTAAGAAGATAAATGATTCTATCGAGTTCGACACGAGTAGCATCATGTTTTTCGTTGACGACTGATTGCTACAATTACCGTTACTAGCATTAGTGAATGACTCACTAACGCTTAAAGACTCAATAGCATTCGTCAACAGTGGTAGCAACTCTACCTAGAAAACCGTAGCAGCGACCTAAGGAATAAGGATGGCCAACGATGAAAAAGGTGTGATACCTGCTTAAACAAGAGAGGCATGACTTTGTCGCGCTAGAGCCAGTTTGATTAGAATGATCTATTAAAAGTATGTTTAGTGTCTGCAATAATTGATGTTCGCCTGTATCCTATCAGTCACTACCACCTATGCCTTAATTCCAAGTTCCTTCGAGTTGACCCCAGGAAGAACAACTGGTCAATCTGAAATACCATGTTCTTCAACTCTTTCGCACTTGTGTTGTTTCTTGTGTTTTACGTACGGCACTTAAGCCGTTAAGCATTACTTCAGATGGCTGGTTCCCAGCACGAAACAGAGCGTATTTACACCATCCGAACCAAGATCACTGCGTGTCTTTAAGTTAAGCAAATAAACACGCTCTCCAGTACGCTATCACGGGGGCTCTGTTCGACACCTCTTTGTCACTCACCACTGCCTAGAATGCCCCGTCCTCAATACCCATTCGTTTCTCATCCTACCAAAACACATCCAAATTCGTTTACGAATTGACTAGAAGTACATTACACCTGAAGCTAACGGAAGTGACGTTATATTATACGCGATTTAAATGAACGTACCAGTGGTATTGTAGGACGCGTAGATAATAATAGATAATCGTAATAATAGTAAGAGTTCTTTCCGCAGAGACGTTGACCCTCGATTGGTTAACTAACCGAAATCCCCCGGCAGTTATCGTCATCCACCTGACATAGCCGAAGTGCCATATTTAAGAAGTTTGGAAAAGTGTACTTCAAACTAAGACATCGGTTAACTTGTTGTTAGCCGATTAGCTGCTCAAGATCCGCAGCCGCGAACAAGTTCAAAGTGATTACAGATACTGCGAAAGTTTCCCCTGAACCAGGGGGTTCATCTGCAATCGTCAAAAAAGTCCGCTTTCAAGGTAAACAAAGGAGTTTCGCTTAAAACTAACTCAAATGGATCAAGTCAATAACAAATAAGCAACTCGCCAGTGCCAGACCAGTATAAAGTATTCGCACGTACATAAAGCGAAGGAACGCTTACAGCGTAGTTATATATTATGGCTTGCAATCTCTAGGTTTTGTTTCACTGCTGGGAGCTTGGATTCACATCGGTACGCTGGCTTGCTGCCTTTTTGTTTATCAAATGCTTTCGATACGTTTGCTGTTCGATATCCGCCGTAATCTCGTGATTTAAAAATGCCCCTAGCGAGCCTTTTACGACCGCAAATAGTCTGACGAGCAAATTTTAATCCTATTTGTTAACCTTTGCTGCGTATAGATAGGTGCGATAACGTTTCTAGATTCGCACAGTACCGATAATTTCTACGGTAATATCTAAGCTAATACCTGCTTTCAGTAGAATAGTAATTATAATGAATAATGTCAGAGTGTTCTAAAAAATGGTCCTTTTAGACCATTCTTCAGAGTTGGCGCATGTGGTCACCTACCACATATGCTGAACGTATTTTACTAGGCGGAAGGTTCAACTGGGTGTTTCGAACGTGCATTAGCCAAGTTGGATTGTTGCGGCTTTGGCTTTACTCATGGCGAAATGAGAAAAAAATAATTAAAAATGTTTATATTTTTAAGCTAGTACAGTAAAACTCAAAAATCAATGTAGAAGTAGGTGCGAGCAGTTCCATAAATTGTACAAATGTCGTTTGCACCTGCCTTAAACACGGTCTAATGTAATGTCCCTTGTCTTTGCACCACTAGGACACTACACAAGCGACTACATATCGTCGAGTAGGTATTTACCTCAAACTTGCTATTTGGGGCATAAAGCAGGTCATGGTTTTTCAAGTACCAGTTACTAACTGCAGCCCTGACGTGTCTTGTAATCAAGTATTAAAATGTACATATAAGAGATATGTATATATGTTAAAACTGAGAATCGAGCACATAGTGTTTGATTGACCTTAATTGCTTTACACCCAGCTTGGCGATTTGTCCTATTTGAACGATCGCTACTTTTTCAAGGAAGACTACTACGAAGAACATCGATGCGGTCCTGTTGTCCCATGAGCAAATACTGCAACAGTGGCTCAGCTGAATACACGAAAACTTTTTACGCACGCTTGATCGTGCATCACTATCTAGAAGCTCGAACGAAAATTAAGCACACATAGAGTGATTTTTTCTTTCAAAACGTTCAAGTCACGATAGTCATTTAATGTGAAAGCCATTGTAGAAATGATATAAAGGGTTGACATTTTTTGAAACATTGTTTCCCTATACTTTCTATGTATTACAAACAAATTATCCTTAATAATGGTTTGACAGCTATCCTTTATGAACCAGTGCGTTATTAAATACTACTAAACCTTGTTAGAAGGACGACTATTAGCGTCATGAACGGCCTTTTGGCTCGTTGACGTCAGAGCCGGGAGTGAGCCCTAAGTACACCTTTCGAGGCGCCTGGATATATACATATTCAGTGATTACCCACTCTACTCTATCTATAAAGTCCGATTGCATATACGGTATGGATCAGGCCAGGTATGTCTGAATTCAGTTTTATAAATACATATTTATTTAAAAAAAAAGAATATATATATATATATATATATATATATATATATATATTTACATGGCGGTAATCACAACGCAGATGTGTTCCATTGGAAATCCATTTTATCTTTGCTGTTTGAAGTTCATGTCGATACTGATTTTGCTTTGTCCTACCTGTATCTACTGTAGCCTTCATTCAATATTAATGGAATTTCTAGGCAGATAAATAGAGCGATGACATTCATACTAGGTCGGGGCTTTTCGCTGCCTTACAAAAACGTGTGCACATTTTGTAAACATAGCAACGCTGAAATAACGATTTCGAATGACGGCTGAAGCACGGGACGTTTGTCATTTACTAAAAGAATAAGTTCACTGTATAAAAATGAACTTATCCGATCTTTGCCATTTCTAATATTGATGTTATGATAGGAATCGACTCCTATAGCCAAGTATCAAATCGATTAGTGTTTGCTCTTCAGCCAAGGCTCCTTAAAGCTTCTAGACCCTTGTTAAGAGCAACAACTTTCTGCACGAAGTATATTAGAAGACGTTAGCGTATCAGCCAACGTATGTGATTTGTATGTATTATGAAATGAAACCCAAATACTAACCCTGCTGGATTCAGCGGATTGGCGAACAAAAATCGCATTGAACTTTTATTTACAGTGATGCCCTTATTTAATACGTACTGCGTAAAATATTACTCATAGTTTTACCGAACTATGATTTTGTGAGCGGCATGATTCTGGGAAAAAGCACGTTGGCTAACTTCGCTGGAGCTTTCCCTCATACCTAAGACGTTTATATTATATATTAAATAATATATTACATGTATACTAAAAGCAAACGCTGTTTTAGCTATAAATTGTTACCAGTCGAGAAAACACGTCTGATCTGGCGTAACTTCTTTTCAACGTCGAACGAAAAAGATGACTGATGCTGTAGTTACGAGAGACAACACCAGTCAGATCTGAAAAGAAACTTTTGAGGCTGCGTGATAAATGCAGCCGAAGAAGAAATCCAGATTGAGTTGCACAAATACGGCCACTACCCATCAAAACTGGATCTGACCGATGTAACACTAGAGGAGCTACAGTAACGTTTTGCAGTCGAGAAAATTTCGCAGGACCTAAGTCCATATCCACGAACGTCTCCGGCAACCTCAGCTCTTTCTTATGACTGAGGTGCTGTTAAGGAGGATGGCCATCTGCCGGAAAGCCTATTAGAGGTATATTTACACAGTCGTAAAAGACTCATGGTTCGACAGACATTAACGGTTACTCCTATAAATTCAGTTGAAGAAGAACCTGCAGTTCTCGACATTAGTGTCCCGGATATTCTGGCCGTTTACTTGTCGACTTCGCTAGAAATCTGGCCAAAACAGACCAGGCAAACGTCGCATTCGACGGCGCTGGCATTCGGTTAACATAGGGAAAATGCTTCACGCCATTAGTGCCTGTGAGTATTTTTCGAAATTAGTTGCTCTTTCTTAATCCACAGCAAAGATGTCTGCTGGCCTAGTGCCGAGAGCTATGTGATCAACACCTGTCTTAAACAACGAGAGCCATGATCCAATATCGGATCCGTCCTTTTACGAATTTTCGACAAAATGACCGATGAGCAAACTACCAGGTGTTCTATTCACTGTTTCGACGTTCATGTTATTGCCCATCTTAATGGAATTTGTTTCTTTTATTCCACAAAAACGATCACATTAACCGTTCAGTAGATGAACGCATGTGGATCTACGTCGTATTTTCAAAAATAACACGTTAGTTCAAACGCGGACTTTTCACACATATTAACATCATTCGTGTGGTGAAGGTCGAAAACCTCGATTCCGATACCTCAAACCGGTCCAGTACGAAGGGCATGTAGCTTTGGGAGTGCTAGTACTGGAACGCAATGTACGTTTTGCTTTTTTCCACTGTTTGCCAAAAAGACTTTTAGCTGTCGAGCCACAGGTACTGTAGCACATGGATATCACGCCAAAATATATTTCTAGAAGATTCTTAACGACGGAATATTGTTCTATTCTACGACTTCTGATTCAGGCAGTCGACTTGGTCTCTAAAATTAGTATCTCATATAGCTATAAGGCCTTTTATTAAGTGAAGCGCATATCTACAAATATAATTATCTCACAAAATAGATGCGTCCTATGTACAATATAATTTGTCAGCATTGTATCTTGCTTTCACCTAATTTTATGTAATATAGTTATTATAAGCTGTTCTTTGGATCGTTGTTTAGTTGTTAGTATCGCGTGTACGTTATTAGAATGCCGGTCCGGCCTCGTTTCGACAAAGAGGTCCTCCATCGATGTAACAACTGGTGTGTTATCTTATCGAATCAGAGTACTAGTGCACTGTTCGTAATGCACTAGGGTGTAGGGCGTAGCACTCTAGGGTGGGCGTATTTTTTGTCCACCGGCACTCTGTCGGTATCGCGACAGGCAACATATGGGACAACAAACCATTTTCAAAAGCTTCCTCTCTAACGGTGCAAGCAACCTTCCCGTAGTAACTCAGGGTCGGGAGACATACAAGCTCGCTAAGTTTTACGCAGGACCCTTCAGGCACAAAAAGAATCGTCTAATTTAATAAATGAAAATTTTTAAAAAAACAGCAAAAATTCAAGTGTCGAAAAAAATCCGAATCTAAATAATGTAAAAAATTTAAAGAGATTAACAGCCGACGATTATCTAGATTGACCAGAGATAATTTTATCTTGAAAATAACAACTGCATAAAAACGTTAAAGTAACCAAAAAAATGTTGTTAATTCGACATTTCTTAATCAAATCCCTATTCTGTCTTGCCTCGTTGTGTCCTTAATAATGTAATAAAAATAAAATGCAAAAAGGTAGAGAAAAAGATCGCAAAGTGATAGATTTATTTAGTTTAGTGCTATATTTAGCACTGATTGGTCACGGTTCAAATGTCTGAGCGTATCATAACAATTGCACCTTACTATTTACATGTCGTGTCACGAAAATAAACTTTATAAGGCAAAGCTGTTGTTTTATATGCAAGAAGCTACACGCTATTGTCTTACGACAGAGCGTACAATACTGAAGGTTTTTATCGCTGAAACTTTAAGTGTACGCATGAAGCAAACATACATTTGTTGGACGGTGTACGAACAGTGAAACGGAGCACGATCCTACAATGTTATTGATCATTGTATGTTTGGCTGGCTATAAATATTTAGTTAAAGTTTAAGTTAACGTTACCCAATTCATAGTTTGCTATTGGCCACCAGGCTCGTCTTTTAATCAAAGTAAGTTGACCGCAACATGAATCACTATCGATACCCACCGTTGCATGAAGATCATTGCTGCGAACGCCATTTTCTAGGCTCCGGAGCTAAAAGTCTATACCATGCAAATAAAACCTTCTCATGCC